TACAAAGAAAGTAAAGAAAATACCTCAATACAAATTTGTATATGCATACAAATCTAATAAGCCCAATACCCAAGAACGTCTATGTGGGCAAACACATTGCAGTTAATGTTCTGGGAGACTGTTATGATTAAATTACATCGCCCAAAAAGGTAGGTTGAAGTCTTAACCCCAAGAACTGTGAATGTCGCCTTATTTGGAGGTAGAGTCTTTGCAGATGTAATCAGGTATGATGCAGTCACACTGAATTCATATGGGCTCTAACCCAGGGTCTGGTGTCCTTATGAGAGAGGGAAATTTGAACATGGACACACAGGAGAGAAGAGGAGGCAGAGATTAGAGTCATGTATCTACAAGTCAAGAAATGCCAAGGACTGCTGATCTCAGAGTTCTAGTCTCCAGAACTGCAAGAGAATAAATATCTGTTGTTGTGAGCCACCCAGTTGGTGATACTTGTCACAGCAGCCCTAGGACACAAACACAGTCAGAGGAATTGGTTGGGCTAGGCTGAGCTGAAGTGAGGAAACTGAAGTCATGCAAATGAATGTGGCCCATCAAGCTCTAAGGACCATTCTGTAACGAACGTCCTCTGCACAGTGTGGTCCTCCACACACACTCCTCCACTCCACACACACTACTCCACTCGCACGCCTCCAGGACGCCTGGAAGGAGATGAGGAGTGGAGGGAGACAAACCTGGGTTTGAATCCTGTCTGCTACTTTTGGGGTCTCAGTGCCCTCACTTGGAGAAGACAGCCTCCCTTTGAGGGTCAGTGTGAGAACGACTGTGCTCACCTGTCTCACCTGTCGCAGCAGGGTTGTTCTTTGTCTTTGCTTTATGCAGTCTTTGAACTAAATTACGGGCCATTTAGGAGGTTGGTGACAGGAAAGTTTAAACACTTCCCACAGGAGAAAGAAGCCTCGAGTCATTCAATGCTGGTACTGGGGGCACCGTGAAGGCCATGAAGACCAAGCCGCCCATTTTGGAGATGAGCCCACCCGTCATGTTGTATGTTCTCCACACTCACCACAGACACGTGAGGCCTCCAGGTGAATGTCTGCTGATGGGTGAAGTGACTTGGGGAGACCTCAGGAAGAAAGGAGACTGAATCGTATGTGGAAAGTAAGCCATTTGGCATTGTGGAGCAGACTTCACTCACCTCACTCCTCTGCTCAGACCTGGCTGTCTGTGTCTGGCCCAATACCTCTCAAAGGATGATTTGCTAGCCATCTCCCTTGAGTGACCTCCAGGGTGTTCAAGGCCTGAGCTTAAATGAAAGTGACTCCAAATTAGGTGCTCAGGATTTCTGAAGTATTTTCAGCTGTATAGCTGATTCTACATCAAGAGGCCAAAAGAATAGTCATTTTTAAAAAGGATACTTAACACAAAGTCAACTGTAACTTAAGAGTAGAGGGCAAATACAGTTCCTATTGTGAAGATAAAACGTGCAGGGAAACTAAATGAACTATGCCATTTTTAACGCTCCTCTCCCCCAAATATACCTGCCACCTCCACGCAGACCACTGCCCTTCTTACTTCCTCTGCTGTATTGCTCTCTTAACACCTACTACACATGACATATTGTATTGGCTTGTTTATTCAATATTCAACCAGGACCCCTCTCTACTCCCTAGAATGTAAGTTCCAACAAGGCCCAGCCCTGGTCTCTTTATTCGCGTATGTATCCCCAGGGCCTGGAACAGTTCCTGTCACATAAATTGGTTCACAATATATATTTGTTGAATAAGTGAGTGAATGAATGAACAAATAAGTTTGGGCAGGGAGGGGGCAGTCATATGATGCCAATGAGGAAGTGAAATATGTGGCTGCCTCTTGCCTATAAAATCTGTCCTTATGCGACTCACCATTAAGAACATCTCTGCCACCTCTATGCCTTGCTTCCATCATCACCGAGTAACCTTCCTATGTGCCTGTTCCTATAGAGCAGTGTTTCTCAACTTTTCTAATGCCAAGACCCTTTAATACAGTTCCTCACGTTATGGTGACCCCCAACCATAACATTATTTTCTTAAAATTATGGTCTTAGGAAACCCTGCTATCAGTTCTCAACCTGTGGGTCATGATCCACACGTTGAGAACCACTGCTGTAGAGCCTAAGACCATTGGAAAACACAGATACTTACATTACAATTCATTAACAGTAGCAAAATGACAGTTATGAAGTAGCAACAAAAATAATTTTATGATCCCACTGCTATAGAGGGATTACAATTTTGGTTTGATATTTTTCACTGTACATGAATAGGTTTCCATTTAATCTTTGTAAAATGGTTCACAGCTCAAAGAATCCTGAGGAACAAAATCTTAACCACAATGAAAACCTGTGGTGAGCCAAAACCGGTTTGGCTCAATGGTAGAGCGTCGGTCTGCGGACTGAGGGGTCCCAGGTTCGATTCCGGTCAAGGGCATGTACATCGGTTGCGGGCACATCCCCAGTAGGGGGTGTGCAAGAGGCGGCTGGTTGATGTCTCTCTCTCATCGACGTTCCTTGCTCTCTATCTCTTTCCCTTCCTCTCTGTAAAAAATCAATAAAATATATTTAAAAGGAAAAAAAAGAAAGAAAGAAAACCTGTGGTGAGAAGGGCCAAGAATGGCACACAAGGGACATGGGTTCTAGATCTAACTGTCCTTTTGACTTCTGTGTGGCCTTTGAAAAATCACTTATCTGGGCTTCACTTTCTCTGTGGAGGCATTGAACTTGACAACTTCTGAGCCCCTGCCAGTTTTCAAAGTTAGAATTCTATAAAAATTATTAAAGTTAGCTCTTCTGTGTATATGTTGACTTCCTAAGAGAAGTGTCAACTGGTATCTCACATCACTGTCTAATGGCAAAATAGTATGGGTCATGGGTCAGCCCTTTTCCTGGGGGTCAGTTGTTATCGCCAGGAAAGACAGATGGTGTTCTCATTAAAAATGTAAAATGCCAGCGGAAGCATTCCCCAGGGACAGTGGAGAGCACACAGAACTCTTTCCACGTTTAAAATGGTACAGGTGGTGCCTGGGTGTGGGGTGGTGGGAGGCAGTGCAGAGGGGAGGAGAGGCACGGCAGAAGGTAGAGGAAGTCTCGGTGATTGGAAGGCAGGTGGCAAGACCATAGGTTTGGAGAATCAGTCATTTTCCTGTGAGGACCGAGCAGACACTTAAGCTTGGCAAATAAGACTGTGCCCATGAACTTTTAGTGGGTACATGGAGCTATTTCCATTATGAGTCATATCATTGTGGAGGAGTGCAAGAGCTGAGTGTCCCATAAATGTATCTTCCTTGGAGGTTTTAATTATCCATTTTCCAAGGATGCCCCAAGCCTGCTCTTTTTGTAACCCTCTCCATGTTCATTATTGGTCTTCTTAGAGATCTAAATTGCCTGTTTATAATATAATTATCGGGCTAGCTCTGAAATTTACACCTTCCCATGAAACTTCTCACCTGAGTGCTAGTCTTCTGTGGCAGCCTCCCTACAATAAGTGCCATTTGGATAACATCACTTTACATGTAACATGTCAAGGGCAAACACAGCATGAGTCTTCCCAAGTCACTGGCTTCGCTACTCTTATCCTGAGACTTAAGTCTGAAGTTGCTTTTCACTCCTCACAATCCCCTTCATCAGCCTTCCCCTCAACTCCCATAAACAACAAGAACAAACTCACCCATCTGCCCACTGCTCCATAAATGTTGACTATTCTGTGATTTGTATTATGATCTAACATGATCTGATCCATCACCCAACACTGCTGAGGTTTCTCACAGTCTCTCTCACATTCATCTCCTTGCTCTCATCACAGGTTGATCTTTCTGAAACCACTTTGGTGAAGTCACAGTGTGCTTACAAACCTACAAGGCATCTTGTTTGCTAGTCAATGTTTTAAAAACTCCTCATTCGGCATCTAAGATCTTTGGTCAACTGCTCCCTTCTCCCCGAGCTACCCCTGATCTATTCTGGCCTCTTTTTGACTCACATTTGTTTGAGCACCAGCTAGGTACCAGCCTCTCTATGACCCCCTCACTGCCCTCCAGCATGCCTTCTCTCAGGAGAGCCTCGCTTCTGTGGTGCTGACCTGCGGCCACCACAGCGACACCTGCCTTTAGGCTGTGCTCACATTCTTGCCCAGGTAGGAGTCTCCTCCCCTCTGCCAATCCAGATGTGTTCTCTCTCCCAAGATGCACCTTCCCCTGAATGTGTCTCCTGAATAAATCCCAGATCACAACCTTCCATCTTTCTGAATCCCCTCAGCATTCTCACACGAGATATCTATTATTAGTTGTATCCCTCTTTTTATTGCACAGGCATTCATCGATCTCCTCAATTGAAATGTGAGCTCCAGAAGGACAGGACCAAATCCACTACTTTCACTCAGATCTGGACTGGGCAAGAGCAGGTGCAATGCCAGCAAGAACCTTGATTTTGCACACAGTTCCTGGACAGGTCACACTTGCCTCCGTGTAGGCAATACATGCAAAAATGGGCACCGAAGACCTAAGACCGGCTCCTCAGACAACACTAGAGACTTGGCCGTGTTTTGAGAAGTGCTTGTTAAATGCTAAATTAAAATGTAAAGCATAATTCAAGGTCCTTACACAGCGTGTATTCCTCTAGCACAGAAATCTCTACTGAAGTACTATGGCTGGTATAACCAACCAGGTCTCAATCGCTAATCAGATTGGAAATGCTGGACTCTTCTTGGCCAGAATGCTAGGTCCAGTGGGGGACAAGAAGGCGCTATCTCCGCTGTCCCATCAGAAGTTGCCCCCACACCTGGGAACTACCCTAAGTTAGCACTGGTTCACGTCCTTGAACCAAAGTTATCCGACTCCAATACAGCCTGTAAGCCCTGCTCCCCTCCTGCCCTGTGTCCAGTTGCACAATGTCTGGTCCAAACCTCGCCCTCCGCCCGGTGCTGTGCGGCCCCTTGCAGAAAGCAGGAAAGATGCCCTCCTGTCCCCAGGAGCCCGCAGGACTGCCGAGAGGGAGACGGAAATGGACTCACCTTCACATAGAAGTTCATGCCCATCCCCAACAGGTGCTGCAGGAAGTGCCTGTCCGGCCTGCTCCCCGCGGCCGGCTCCCCGGGGCCCGGGAAGGGGCAGGCATCGGGAGTTCGGGCTCTCGCCCGGCGCCCCACCAAGTCCTGCTGCTGCGGAGGGGCAGACCCGGACCTGTTCAGACTGTGTTCGGGCGAGGCCGGGCTGCTGGGAGCCGGATCCTGGCTCTCCTGGAGCTTCAGCCGGGGCACCTCTTTGGTCCCCAAGCAAAAGTTTTTCAGACTCAGCAGGGTGGCCGGGTTGGCCAGCTTCACGCTGGCCATGCGCGGGATCAAGGTGCACAGTGGGGTGGGGCTCTCCTGGGGCGCCGAGGGAGCATCTTCCTCCGGCAGGTGCGGGGCCAGTGCGGGGTAGGGGGGCTGCGGGGAGCCCTTGCTTCCGACGGAGGAGCCTCCGGGACTGCCTTCGTCCAGGGACGTGACGGACTCGTTCCGAAAGCGGCTGTACTTGGCCCTGTGCAGCATCCCGGGGTGCCCGAGCAGCCCTACATGCAGCGCAAGTCCTGCCAAGCCGTCCGGGCTGCGTTCTCGCATAGCCTTGGCGGGGCCGGCACCGGGTCCTGCTGCATGAACCGCCGCCTCGTCTGCTGGATAGATGACCTGCTGGATAGACGACCGGTGCGAAAGCCAATGTCCCCGCGCCCCGTGGCCACCTCTTCGGCTCGGTGGCCGAGCTCCAGGGGGTGACAGCCGAGAGGGCAGGCGGCGCCCCGGCTTCCAGTCCTTCAGCACCCGGGGTTCTCTCGCCTGGACTCCTGGCTGGGTAAGCCTGGGCTGGGTCCCGGCTCCCGGCTCCCGGCGGGCGGGGATCGCTCAAGGCCAACTCTGGGGACCGGATCCCGGCCCGGCCCCGGCCAGCGGGCCCCGCAGCATCGCCCGCGAAGCAGGAGGAGGAGGTTGCAGAGATACTCAGCGCCCCCGCCCCCACCCGCAGCCGCCCCTCGGCACACAGGAACTTTCAAACCTGCTCCCTCCGGCTCCCACAGGGCGGGGCAATGGCTGGCCTATTAACCCTTTGTCCCGGTGATTGCCCATTTAAAAAAGAAAAAGGAAAAAAAAAAGGAAAGAAAGAAAAGGTCTAGAGGAGCCAACGGGCTTTCTGCCTGAGTTTCTGGATTCTAATGGCTGCCCTCTCTTGGAAGATCTTGTCTTGCATTCCGTCCGGGCCACCAGCCAGGAGTCCTAGTGACCGGAGCCGCCCGGCATCATTTCAGGGACTTGTGGTCCCTCCGAGTCCCGCGCATCCCCTCCCCTCCGGCCCGCCGGGCCCAGAGCATCCCTCCCTCGCGGAGCTTCTTTCGGGAGCGCGGCGGCGGCGGCTGCGGAAGGCTGAGATGTGCGGGATGATGGTACGCAGAGTGTTGAAATTTTTATGAATGAACTTCGCTGAATGAATTTCTCTGTGTGTGTGCAAGCTAATAAATCTGTGAATGGAGCTGAGAATAGCTGTAATTGACGGATGGTCTCAGAGGTGCTTGGTTTTCATCCAATCAGGCGGCAGCTTGGTGACTCATGCACCATAAATATACTAAGCGAGTAGCCAGGAGAAAGCAAGGTGGAGGGACGTGTCCGGTGAAAGGGTTAAAAGGAAAGGCCTTCATTTACTATCGATATAAATCATCGGTGAGCTGGGCAGCCGCCGGTTAAAAGATCCATTTCCTTTTCTCGTTGAGATGGCCAGGGGAGCCAAGCAGAAAGAGCTAAAAAGGAGAGGCATTGTTCCATGGATATTAGGACATATGGTACGTAACTCCTGCGGGAAGCCGGTGATGCATTTTTCTTAGAAACATAGTCTTTTTTTTTTTTTTTTAATTGATTGCTGGTTTCATCTCCTGTCTGGAGCAACTTCCTGTACCTATCCGCTGCTTTCTGAAGACGTGATGACAACGGCAAGAGGCTTGGCAACACAGGAAGCCGGGGAGGAAGCCGGGAGAGGAGAAGCAGGTTCTTCAGGAGCCGGGAAGAGGAAGCTGCTGAAACACTGCAGGGTGCGGGAGTCACATGCCTGAGGAAACAGGAAAACCACTGCTGAAGGTGCCATTTGCTGGTGGAGCAAGGCTCTTGCGTGTGAATTGTTCATTCATTCATTAATTCATTCATTCAAAAATTAAAACTAGCCAAAGCGGGGTTGTCTCAGTGGATAGAGCGTCAGCTTGTGGACTGAAGGGTCCCGGGTTCGATTCCAGTCAAGGGCATGTACCTTGGTTGTGGGCACATCCCCAACAGGGCGTGTGCAAGAGGCAGCTGATAGATGATTCTCTCTCATCAGTGTTTCTAACTCTCTATCCCTCTCCCTTCCTCTCTGTAAAAAATTAATAAAATATAAAAAAAATTAAAACTAACTGGCAACCACAGGAGTCAGGGACGCCGCCTTCATGGTCTTATTACTCATAAGGCTGCGTTCGGCTCTGGTGTTCGGGACTTCAGGGGCCTGAGCTCCTTGGGATCCAAACACAGGTTCTGAATTAAATGGCTGCTGGGACCACCCCAAAAGGCATCCTCACTGGCTTCCTGCTCCCTGACAGAAATGCTGTTAGGATGGGTTTTTCCTGAGGAAGGCTCCCTTGCATCTTCATAAACCTTCCATTCGGTCCTTGCTGACCTCCCCTCTAGGAAGGATGTGGCTAAATCCCTTGTGAGTCAGGCTCTGGGCAAGATGGTGAAGCAATCTCCCTCCTTCCTTCCCCCACTCCTCCCTCCCCTCTCATGGACTCCCTCCTTGCCACCACAGCCCGCATTGGCTGTGCTGCTTGAGAAAGTCACTTCACTCTCTGTGCCTGCGCCTCTGTTAGGAGGAGCCTCTGATGGCGACGCTATGAGGGCTCCCGAGATCATTCTGATCTCTGCAAAGCTCTTGGCACCATGCTCCCTACGGTGCCTGGCCCAGAAGTACCTGCCAGGCCATCTGAATGGAGGGCCACCTGCCCCCCAAGCTGGTACTCTTGCCCCTCCACTTGACACCATTGTAAGCAATGGAAAGAAAAACTAGCACGAATGAGAAGCCAACGCTGCCCAAAGGAACAGCTTCGTCACAGTGCCGTGGGCCGGGACAATAGCAGCCCACCTGGCTGTGTGGGCCTTGCTGAGGTCTTTCTGACTGGAGGAGAGCCCGGGACTGGAGGAGAGCCAGGTGCCCAGGTGTGCACCTCACCAGTCAGACTCCAGGGCCTCAGACCAGCCACAAGGCTCAGGAGGAGTGAGTCCTAGGGGGGAGTAGGAGCAAGGGAAACCAGGGGGGACTGAACAAGCAGCCATGGCTACCGTGGGCTGCTCCTGTCCCTTGGGACCCTGGAGATATTGACCCTGCTAGGCAGCTCTGCCAGGCCTTTTGTGAGGGTGAAAGAAACCAGACCGGCAACTGGGGGCGGGGGAACCGCCTCAGAGGCCACGCCAGCCCAGCTGGGCCGCTCTCGGCACAAAGGCAGGGCTGAGAATCTGCCCCAGCAGCCCAAGGGAAGGCTCATTAGCTGAGTGGGTTTCCATTCCAGGTAGGCGCGTAGGCAAAGCGGAAGGTTCCCTTTTTCCCAGGACATTAGGATACCCTTTTCAAACACTAATGATGAAAATAATATTAAGAAGAGCTACTGTTTATGGCACACAAGGCAGTTTACCTGTGTTACAACAACAACAACAACAACAAAGCAAGCGCTTGCCCAGCTGGTGTGGCTCAGCAGTTCAGTGTAGACCCAGGAACCAAGAGCTCGCCGGTTCAATTCCCTGTCATGGCACATACCTAGGTTGTGGGCTACATCCCCAGCATTTCTATCTCTCTACCCCTCTCCCTTCCTCTCTCTCTAAATATCAATTTTTAAAAAATATTTAAAGAAAACTACAAATGTAACCAAGTAAATCTGAATATCTAGTTGATTTTATTAAACAATTCAGAAAACATCCCAACTAGCAATGAGAAGGGTGCTCCATGTACAAAATGGAAGGCCAGCCGCTGGGTTGGGGACAAGAGAGCTAATAGCCAGAAAGAAAAGGATTACTTGTGTGTGTAGGGGGGGGGGGGGGGGGGGGGTGTGCACCTTCTCCTAGGAGTAAAGAGAAGGGGAAGGTTTTATTATATAGGTTGCCTCTTCTTTCTATGGGGGATGGAGAGGGCCTATGTGACATATTACCTTACCGGTCCTTGACCAGAAAATTCCTTGCTGGTTGATTAAGATTGTTTCTGGGAGAGGTTGGAACTGCAATTAGATCAGGTCTTAAATCTAGGTTTGGTATCATGGGCTTTTAACTAGAGTGACACCATTTGGGGCCTGTGGTGGTTTTTTTTTTTCCCTTTAACACCTGCGTTCTCATTTAATCATTCTAATAATTTCTGGAGGCTGGAAATTCATCGTCACCTTACACATGTGGAAAAGTCTCAGAGCAAGTTCGGTGACTGGACCAAGGTCCCTCTGGTGGAACAGTGATGCCGGGCCCTGCAGCAGCTCTGCCTGCTGAGAGACCTGTGCTGCAGCCACTGCACTCGGCTGCCTCCCAGGCACCAGGGAGCCCACGCTTACATCCCAGGCCTGTCATCCCCACGTTGCGGAACCCAGTCCTTGAGTTTACATAAGCCACCTTGTTTACTGGCTCATCTAAAGACCACAGCCAGATAGAGGTGGATCTAGGGTAGAATCAAGTGCGGACTCGCTTCAACTGCATGTCCTTGCTCATTGTGAATCCACCTAGCCAAGCAAGAACTACCTCACACCCGGCACCCACTGTTAGTGCTTGGAGATCATTTCTATAACATTCATCCCAAGTACTTCCCAGGACTGTCTGAAGTCAAAACATGAATAATAGAGAAAAAAAAGCCATTAGTGTCAGTAGACCATCAGGGTACCATAACCCCACATCTCTGTCCCGGAATGCAGGGCTCTGCTCAGACCACTGCGGTATGCCTCGTTTGCTTTGGGACATCCCCACGCCAAGGGCACCTGCTACAAGTCAAAATGCCAGCTTCTTAAGGGACAGCCTACCATGGCTGAGCTTCTTGGGTGGCACAGGAAGATTCAAGGAAGAGTTGGGTCAGGCTGGGCCACCATAAAATTAGCTAGGTCCTGCCAGGGTTTCTCAGAAAAGTGAGGGGGAAGGGGACCTGGGCAAAAATGCCTGCTCAGCTTTGGACGGTTGCCCAAGGTGGGATTTGGGTGAAGGAAACGGTGTGCTAGGGAGTGTAGGAAGGTAGAAACAGAACCAGACAGAAATAACTCTGCAGGAATGTAGGCCAACTGCTACCTTGGAACAGAGTGGAGCAGGTGGGATCGGAATGCCAAAGCACAAGAACTCTTACTCCAGACACCAAGTCCATCTCTCTCACAAAGCAGACCACTCCTGAAGAACTGTAACTGGGCATGACCTACTCCTGAAGAATTTCACTGAGGACAAGTCCAACAGCCCATCAGTGAGGAATGAAAACACTGTGGAAACTCTATTTAAGGGCGTGGGAAATATCCACAATACAATCCTATATAAAGAGGTAATATGCAAATTGACCATCACTCCAACACACAAGATGGCCACCCCCATGTGGTCAAAGATGGTTGCCACAAGATGGCCAGCAGAGGAGGGCAGTTGTGGGTGATCAGGCCAGCAGGGAAGAGCAGTTGGGAGGGACCAGGCCTGCAAGGGAGAGCAATTGGGGGTGATCAGGCTTGCAGGGGAGGGCATTTGGGAGTGACCAGGCCTTCAGTGTAGGGCAGTTAGGGGGAAACTAGGCCTGCAGGGGAGGGTAGTTGGGGGGAGGGCAAACAGGCTGGCAGGGGAGTGGTTAGGGGGTGATCAGGCTGGCAGGCAGAAGCAGTTAGGGGTAATCAGGCAGGCAGGCAGGCAGGCGAGCAGTTGGGAGCCAGCAGTCCTAGATTGTGAGACGGATGTCCGACTGCCTATTTAGGTCTGATCCCACTGAGTCTAATGGGTCCCAGACTGGCGAGGGTGCAGGCTGGGCTGAGGGACACCTCCCACCCCTGTACACAAATTTTGTGCATTGGTTCTATATAATAAAATCTTAATATGCTAAGTGTTCCAGTTGTCTGGTTGGCTGTTCAACCAATCAAAGCATAATATGCTAATGATATGCTAAGGCAACTCAACTACTTGCAATGATGTGCACTGACCACCAGGGGACAGAGAGTCAACTCGTCAACCAGTCACTATGACCTGCACTGACCACCAAGAGGCAGACACTCTGACTGGTAGGTTAGCTTGCTGCTGGGGTCTGGCCAATAGGGACTGAGCAAGATGGGCAGTTCATACCCTGGATCCCTCCCTTAATCCCTCCCCAGCCCTGATGGTGCACCACTGGGGTCCCTCAGCCTGGCCTATGCTCTCTCGCAATCCTAGACCCCTTGGGGGATATCAGAGAGCCAGTTTCAGCCCAATGCCAGAACCACCAGTCACTATGATGTTCACTGACCATCAGGAGGCAGACACTCAATGCAGGAGCTGTCCCCTGGTTGTCAGTGCACTCCCATAGGGAGAGCACATGCTCAGCCAGAAGCCTGACTCATGCTGCTAAGCTCAGCAGCAGTGGTGGGAGCCTCTCCCATCTCTGCTACAGCACTATGGATGTCTGACTGCCAGCTTAGACCCGCTCCCATTAGGATGTCCGACTAACAGATGTCCGCTGTTAGTCGGACATCCTTTGAGGGCTCACGAACTGCAAGAGGGCACGTGCCAGGCTGAGGGACTCCCCCCCCCCCCCCCCCCCGCCAAGTGCACACATTTCATGCACCAGGCCTCTAGTATTTATATAAAACTCTCACCAGAGATAAAACACCATTTTAAGGGTGGGGTTGTGAGAGGTGTAGAAGGGTTGAGTCTGAGAGTCAGGGCCTAGTATCACAAAAACAGAGCAGGTCTGTTCCCCCAGATTTGCCATTAAAGCAACATCTTTCTTTTGCCTCCTGATCAAAACATTTACAGTTTTTCCACTCTCCAACCTTGGTAGGTAAACAGCTCTGTGATGACTGCTATTGGCCCAGACTTCTCTCCTGGAACCAGGACCAGCTAGAAACAGCATAGGAAATCCGTTATTTTCCTTGCTGTTGAAAATAAGACAATGTCCCTGGAAGCACTGTGTAAAGAGTTAGACTTCATGAAGATAAAGAATAGCCAGGCTGG